GCTGAGATTCCGACCCCCATAGCACCCAGCCGGCATGTGCGCGTGTTGGGACTTGCAGCCCCCACGCACCTGCAATGCTTAAGGTCAGAAAAGGCCGCCTTAAACGCCCTCGGCGGTGACCGCAGCGCCAGGTAGTATTTCAGTGCCTAAAGTTGGAAACGGGGGGGGGGGGGAGGTTCCTGAATGACAAGAGCTCCATTATTTACTTGGAGTACGTGAGAGATACGGAGCCAGTAGGCTTTCCCCAGCGTGGGTTTAGAAACGCCTTCCTAAAGGTTTGGCATAGCTTGGGCTGATGTTTTTCTCTCTGTGTGGTAGCCTATGTAGTGTGAGAGTACTAAAGGGTTTCTGCTGTATCTCTTTGGAAATGTTTGTTGCACGTAAGTTGTGGAAATTCCCACTTTCCCAGCAAATCAAGTGAAGTGCGAAATTCAACAAAACTTTTTTTCAGGTTTGATATATTCATTAGCTTATTGTAGCTTTTTTTCCCGAAGAATGACTGTTTGTTTGTTTCAAAGTGGTTACAATAACAATATTTGTTGGAGTATTTAGGAAAGAAAAAGTCATATTTCAGGGGTATGCATGAAAGAGAAAAAGCAATCCAGGTGAAATAAAATCTATATTAATTTGCCTGTCTGGGCATCAGCCGCATAAAACCCCAGAACAGTTTTAGGCATGAGAGACAATGAGGTTTAGGAGAAGCCTCTTGGGCTGCAAAAATCTGGATGACTGTTAGAAGGTAGCAAATAAACAGGACTGCCTTCTAGTAGTTGTTAAAATTTTACAGGCCAGAATTAGCCCTAGTCTTGAATTTACAGCAACCATTTGCCATGAATATACAGATACTCTAGCTAAACAAAATGTAAAGAGAGGTAGACTGACTTCCAACAGAGGAAAATATATGTAACAGCTGAGGGTTAAACTGTGATGTTCCTGGTGCTCTCTGAGCTTGGTTGTTTGCTTGCAGATGTTTCATTACTGATGAGGTAACATCAGTGCTAGTGAGGGTGGGGTTTGCTCTCTGTTTATATACAGGAAGTCCTTGACTTATGATCACAATTGGGGCCGGAATTTCTGTCACTAAGCAGTGCAGTTGTAAAGCGAGACATCACGTAACCACATCGCTTAGCAAACCCAGTAGTCCCAGTTGCCATCATTAACTGAGAATTGCAGATCATTAAGTGAGTACTCATCCCATCCATTCCAGGCTTGGTCCCTCCCAGCCCCAAATCTCAGTAAGGTAAGGGACTGCCTCCAAAAGGTGGTCTGTTTCCTTTTTCTGGGTTGCTGTAGTGCTTTTATACTCATATCAATAATGTTCTTACACAGCTCCTCTTCTGGGAGGTTGGGTTGTTACTTTGGTAATGGAGCACTTGGTTAGTGTGGGTTGTTTTTCAGTAGACTTGCATTTCTAATTTCCCATCGTTTCCTCTGCTGATGAGGATGTCCAGGAAGGGTAGTGTGTTGTTGTTTTCTTCTTCCCTTGTGAATTTTATTCCTTTGAAGATGTTGATTGTTCATGTGTCTTCTCTAGTTGTTCCTTTTTTATTATGATGAGGTGTTGTCTACTAGATCCATACATACTAGATCCATACTTTTGGTTATATGTGTAGGAGGGCTGTAGTTTCTAGACACTGCATTACAGCCACTGCTATGAGTTTGGAGAGTGGTGATCCCATGGGTGTTCCTTTGATTTGTCGGTATATTTATCCATCAAACTAGGTAGTGAGGCAGAGGTTGATGGGGTCTATGATTCTGGGCATTTTGATCTTAGTGTATGTGCCTGGTCAAGTCTGTTGCGTAATACTGCTGCCTTGGATTATTTTGCTAGTTCTGAATCTATGGATGTAAAGAGTGCTGTGACATCGAATGAAACCATAATTTCTTCTTCTGTTTTTAGACCTTTGATTTTCTGGAGGCATTGTATTGGGGAGTTGATAGAATATTCGCTCCCCTCTGTGAGATGTCCAAACTTTTTTGTAAGTTCTTTGGCTATGTTGCATGTTGGGGTGCCTGGTAACAATACAATTGGACAAAATGTCAGGCTTGTATATTTTTGGGTGTCCATAGAAGCATGGGAGGATGGGTCCACTGCTTTTCATCCACCACTGTTCCTCTTTTGTGATCTTTCCTTTCTTGGTTAGGTCATTAAGTGTTCTGTTGATCAGGTTGTCTAATTTCTGTATTGGATTGGTGTTTACTGGGACGTAGGTTTCCTTGTCCTCCAGTAATTCTTTAGCTTTTTCTATTTATTGTGTTGTGTCCATGATAACCATGGTTCGGCCTTTGTCTGCTGGGAGGATGGTGATGGTGTGGTCCTTCTTTTAGGTTTTTGAGGGCTGCTCTGACCTCTGCTTTGGGTTGGTTCTGATTCTGTGTTCTTCTAGTCTGTGGTATGATTATCTGCCTTATGCTTTCTTGGGTCTCTGTGGCAAGTCCTGTGGTTTTAAATGCTACTTCTAAGGTTGCAAAGAATTCTAACTGATTAGCATCGTCTATGTTATAATTGGAGCCTTTCTGGAGTATATTGTGTTCTGTGGTAGATAATGGGCTGCTGGACTACCCATTTGGGTTCAGGTACCTCTTTGCTTCTGGGGTTTAGCTTGAGCAGTTTGATTTGGAGTTTTGTCCTTAGTGAATCCCCACACTCACTAGCACTGATGATGTTACCTAGTTGGTTAATGAAAAGTCTGCAAGCAAACAACCAAGTTCAGAGAGCATCAAGGACTCCATAGACAGACTGGTTACGTGTTTTTGATCTCTCACACAAGACACAATCCTTTTAAGCAATTGCCTCTTTCCAGGGCAGGAGAACATCCTGGCATTATATATTAAATTGTATCCAATCAGTCAGTTGAGAAGTTACTTTAAAAATGATTTAAAATAAACCTCATCTAAATATATATGACCCAGTTTGATGTAGTGGTTAAGGCATTAGGCTAGAAATCCGGAGACCATGAATTCTAGTCCCACCTTAGTCATGAAGCCACCTGGGTAACCCTGAGCCAGTCATTCTGTCTCAGCCCTAGGAAAGCAGCAATGGCAAACCACTTCTGAAATCTTGCCAAGAAAACTGCAGGAGTGTCCAGACGGTCTCCAGGAGTCAAGACTAACTTGCATAAAAAAAGAGCTGTCTATGCCTGAACCTAATATTGCAGGCATTCACAGAAATGTGACCTGCTGTCCCCCTCCACCCCTTTATTTAAAGGTTTATCTCTAAAGTTATCCCTTTTTCTCTGGCTGGCTGCCAAAAAATACAGTTTCTATCTGATAGCATGAGCAAAGGCTACTACCCAAGAAAAAGATCTGCCCTGGGATATAAAAATCCCTCCATATTTAGCTACCATCATTCCTAAACATAAATTACATATGCATGGTCAGTACAACACAGAACAAAAGAATAGTCATGAGTCATATATACACACTCAGGGAAAAGTTTTACACTTGAAGTACTAAAAAAAAAAGTGAGGCAAACAAATGAAACCAGCAAATTCAAACATGTCTTTGCAGCAAAATACACTATAGACTTCATCACAGTACAGATTACCATAGACAGAGCGCACATATACACATACTTAATTTCAGCAGGCCAATCTGCTTTTAAATGCACTTTGATATTGCCACAAGCAAAAGGGTATAACTTAGATAATTCAATGATTTCCTACAACACCAAAATCAAAAACTCCAATAGAGCTGACCAAATTAAAGCACCAATAGAAGGGAATATATTTAGCTCAGAATTGAACCGTGGAGTCCTTGGAGTTCTCTAAGCTTGGTTATTTTCTTGCAAACTTTTCTTTACCTGGCTAGGTAACATCTTAGTGTTAATCTCTGGTTATCTGGGTGATGATTGCTGGCAACCTTGCCAGCAATCATCACCCAGATAACCAGAGTTTAACACCAAAATTAACACCAGACAAACCATCAAGCAGTAAACAATACCCTAATCAAGGAGCTACCAAGAAAAAACCCATACCCCCACCAACACTGGCAGGGCAAGCTACTGTATATAACAGAGCAAACCCCACTCCATTCTGGCACTGAAGATGTTACCTAGCTGGGTAAAGAAATGTTTGCAAGAAAACAACCAAGCTCAGAGAACCCCAATGACTCCACAAATTAAAGCAAACCATCAACACACAACTTGTGGGGAAAAAAAGATAATGTTGATGAGCTTAGGTAAAAATGCACCTTCTACCTGCTTTTTATCCTGTTGATTATTGAGCTTTTAGGGTGTCTCTGAAGATGAGATACTCATTACACTGGCATCCTGAATCCAAATATCTGCAAGAACTAAGACCACACACAAAGTACACAGGCACCTAAACTTAACAGGTGAACAGTGCAGAATCTTTTGGCATGTTTAAGTGCATTTTGAAATCCCATTAAAAAGAGGGGAACACATGGGCGAATGAGGTGTGCATAGTGCAAGAAGATGAATGAATGATGACACCAAAGTCAACTTTAAAGTCCCAAATCAAAGTAAGCAATCCATATACACATTGGTTGGTGGGCAACAGATAAACTACCAGACAACTGTTGCCAGGTACACCTTGATATTGTTT